GTGTATTTTTTCAAATACAGCAGCTTCTAGATTGCTGTACTATAAGTACCATATCTCAGCCATAGGAAATTATAGCGTAATTTCAGTCTCTGGTGCTTCAACCAAATGATACCTTTTTTCTGTGCTCAGTAGAGAATAAGATCATTGGTCCAAGAATTACAGCAGCCACTTCATGGAAAAAGATACTAAGGATATGACATTATCTAGACCACTAATTAGATTGAGTAGAAACTGTTGATGGATAAAATGATATAGCCAATCCTCCTCAGATTGTCATGCTTGAAGGAAATTGGTGCTACAAATTTATCATGGAAGGTAATAATAAATATAAAGGTATATCATATGTGCCAGTCTGCAAAATAATTAGAACAGCCTAAATGATAAAAAGGGGTTATTTCATAGTTTGTCGCAATCATCCATAAAGGCTTCATATATGATGGAAGATTAGGAAGTAGACTTCGGTTTATACATTCAGTGTAAGCAATGGTACTTAAATTAAGAACCGCCATGGATTCATCTTTTTTTAGTCTATTCCCCTTTTACAGCCATGAAATCACTTGATGCCATTGATTCAGATTACTTTTTGTAATAAATGATTCAAATTATAAATAGAGACTATGATTTAAAATATTAATTTCTTGCTAGTTCCAACAAGTACTATGAAAGATATCTGCCTGATAAAACTTAATGTGATTGCTTATGTAAAGATAACAGAAACCAATTCATCTTCTTTTGATCAGATTATCATGTAATCACGAAGAAAAATCCATTACCAGGTTCAGGTGATGTACGTGGGTCAAAACCTTTAGTTCAGCCAGAAATTCTCTTGATGCTTGCATATCCATCTTCTTGATTGCGGCTTTCTGCACAGACAAGTTTTTTTTACAAAAAAAAGGTGAATTCTAGGAAAGGAACACAAAAAATTGGCATTAGAAATCATCAAGACAAATTCACAGGAGATTGATGCTTGTGTATCCATCTATAGAGCATTAAAAATCATAAAAAGCAAATAATACAACACATTTGCACATCCAAGGGCACAAAGTTTAAGAAAACTACTGTACCTTAATTTAGAATTGCAAATGTTAATGTGTGTTATTATTTCAGCCAAAACCTTACTGATGATTTTAACCTCGTCTCTACACATAAAAGAAGTCAAAGAGGAAAAAAACTGATTATCAATTTCTAATATCCATTTAGTCAACCTCTTATTCACTTGTTCCTATCTAGCTTAGATGTCCAAGTTGACACTACTTAACTAAACATATTGGGGTTAGCTAGGCAATTCTGATTTTCAAGATTCTGGTCAGACTTGAAATCTCTGTAGAATTGCAAAGCAATATATATTTATTAGCTGATATTCCAAGTTTTCTCGTTCAAAAATCTATCAGAATCTCCATAGATATTTTCTTTGAACCCATCCATCAATAATATCTCCCTAAACAGGGGACAAATTCAGTTAGACATGCCAATCACTCACCAATTTCTAGAAAATTCAGCCGAGAAATTCAATCTCATAATATCTCAGAAGCATTTGAAAACTTTTGGCAGCAGTATAAAGTGCATATTGTGACTGACCTCTCCTCTCAGTTCTGCGTAGTAAACAGACCCGAAGCCACCTTCACCAATCTTATTAGCAATACTGAAGTTACTGGTTGCTGTGGCAAGTTCTTCATATGAAAACTCCACTGATTTGTCTACGGTGATGGCTGTTATGCCCGGAGAGACACCATCAGTTGGACCAGTTGATTCAGTGATTTTGTCCGGTTCACTTCCAGGAGCTAAAATAAATTAAGAAAAAAAGTTGCAGGGGCCAGTTAGACATTTGATTTCACTCTCAATATAAAAGCAAGCAAACAGAAAAGCATTCTATCAAGATAAAAGCATGAAGAAAAAAAAACATGCTTTTTTTTTTTCATTTTTAGCTTCAATATATGCACTAATGAAGAGAGAATAGTGCAAAACATAAGTGTTCCATTAAGCATAGTACCATGTGATGCAGAACAGGAAGCTCCTAAAGTAGGCATATTTCAGTAATAAGAAATACGAGGCAGAACAAATAAAGAGACATAAATATTTTGGGAAGTTAATTAAAAAGAATAGAAAATTTTAATTTGTTTCCTAAGTTTTTTCTTCAAATAAAAGGTATAGATGTATTATTAAGTATAGACACCAAGTGGGTGCAAGTCATTTGCAAAATTATTTACAGTCTATGAAGAATATCTATCTTCTCTCCAAGATCTTCTCCATAATATAATGGTTGACACAGAAACAAAAAACCAAGGGTCTGAAACCTTCTCTCTTGAATTTTCCCAATACCCTCATCCATCCCTTCAAAAGTCCTTCTATTTCTTTCCTTCTACAAAACCTAGAAGACTGCTAAAAGGATAAGACTTAAAACCTTTTCCTGGTTAATTACACCCTTCCACGCCCAAAGTTCATCCTTCACTGTGCTAGCAATGACCCAATTAATGTCCAACAAACCATAAGCCAAATGCCACAAACTATGGGCAACAGGACACCAAAGAAGTAGCTGATTACATGTCTCCTCCGCCTTCTTGCACAAGTAACACCAATTCACCAAAATCTTTCCCCTCCTTTTCAGCCTGTCAGTTGTCAATATACATTCCCTGCTTGCCTCCCAAGCGAAAAAAGCAACTCCCAGAGGTGCATTCACCTTCAAAATTTGTCAATAGGGGAACCTGCTTTCTATAGGCTCTTTCTTGGACAGATATGTATAGAAAGACCTAAAGTTGAATTGCCCAGACTTGGTGAACGTCCAAACTAGTTGATTAGAATCCTCAAGTCAATGAAACCGACTCCAGTATACACAGTAACTCTTCATATTCAGTAGTCTCTCAATCATTAAGATTCTATATGACCTCCACATGTTGCTCCCTACTGCTCTAGCCCTCATAGAAAACCTCTTTAATACATATGTTTTTGAAACGAGCTATAGCATAAATCTGGGGGAACCTCGCTTGCTGTACTGGTTTTCTAAGTTTACAATAAAGGAAAATAGGGAGATTTATTTGCTATTTCCAGATTTCTTCTTTCTCTAACTCTTTCTATTTAACTTCTTTTCCAATTTACTAAGTTTTCTAAGTTCCTGTTTTGACGCTTTTTACACCTATAAATAAGGAAGTTAGTTTAGTTATTAAGTAAATTATTGATGAATATTATTCAAATATTGTGTTGTTGCTTTAACTATAGACATCCGAGATCTCCAAGTTGATTCTTAATAAATTTTCTCTAAATTTTCTCTTCAAACTCTTTTTGTCCAGTATCAGTTGGTATCCAAGCTTAATTAGATTCATCACGTTCCCCCAAGCATTGAACAGTTCACTTTCTAAAATACAACACGTGCTTCTTGTAGATATACCTGTCTCCCCTTCTTCATAGAACAGGAAAAGAAAAAAGAGAAAAAAAAGAGAGAAAACAAACTAAACTAGAAAAACAGGTTATGTTGTTCGTCGACCACTGTCAACAGGTGGTTGAAATGCCGCACCTAGCACCAGCCTCAGAAGATCCTGATCAGCGAAATCCGAAAGTCTAGCCATAAAAACTCATTGGAATACTCATCACCCGGCAAAACTCACCGGACTACCATTGCAAACTCAAGAACTACGCCATTCCGACCACCAGGAGTAACATGAAATCAGATTCGACCTCACCACCTCTAGACAAATCCTCTACCAGAAGATCACCACTGCAGGTCAGCGAGTGACACCCACATGCCTATCAGTATGCTTAGCCTTTGAATTTTTTGACACTTAGCTGACCGGGTTCAAATTTGTTTGACCTGACTCATTCGTCTTATCCAGTTTAACTACCTCCAGACTTTCAAAATGATTCTTGAGGTTCTTAGACATGCTCTTTCAACTTTTGAGGTTGGTTGGCTCAAATTTTTGTTCTTTATTCACTTTTTTTTGGAAGTTAATACTGGAAAAAGTGTCTTGGTGTTAGAGGAACATTTGATGGATTTATAACATGAGTAGAGTTCTTTTAGTTACATTCTATCAAGTAGACAATTCAGTTATAAATGATGATTTATGGGATATTTTATACGAAATTTTTTATCAATATGGATAAGTGGAGAAAATCAAAATCAATTGACACTCCACAAGGTTGTACATGACCGCTGAACTTTACAAAGATGCTATCTGGGCTCAAGATTTTCTCCAAGGATATTACTTAGATGATAGATGGTACGAAATAAAAATTCAATTTGTTTTTCGATGCTTAAAATACTGAAAAAAAGTGCTTTACCTGCAAGAGGAAAGCAATCACGGGATCAACATGATAATTCTCATTCTTATAGAATTGCTTTGGAGGAATTTAAAGTAACTCTCTAAAATTTTAATGATTAAGTTTAAATCTGTGAAATGAAGATGAAAAGATATTAAGAAAATCTTCCATATCCGGTTACACAAGAACCTAACCTATCTCAAACTTTAATGGAACAGGAAAACTAAAAAACGATGAAAGAGTGAATGATTTGGTGACTGAGCAAAATCTTATGGAAGTGATACAACTTAATGATCAAAAATTAACTAATGATGTAAAAGGTGCACACACAAATAAGGTATTTTAGATAGTAGAAGAAATTATGAATGAGGTTGTTATTTCTGCTTATCAAGTTGTGTTTTTTGGTGATAGATCTCTTAATTTAGTTGATGTTATTAAGGTTGAAAATGAGTATTCTCATTGTTTTTAAAGACGCCCCACCTGAAGATACTATTCCGCATCATTTGGCTCCTAACAACAACGAAGAGTTCTTCCTTTTACGTATTTTTTCATTCTTAGTTGGTTCACTACGTCTTCAGATACCTTGAT